GCAGACCTTCGATCTTGTAAAAGGCACAATATTTGCAAAGCACAGTAAAGAAAGTGCGATAAAATGAGGTGTGCCTGTATTTGGTTTTTTGTACATCCTTGCAGCCACTGGACTAGATGATTTCTGAGTTTTCTTTCTTTCTGCTCTGCCAAACTAGTTTCATGAATGGTGGCTTGTATTACAGACCCAGCCCAGCAGGAGGGCCACAGACCCAGCGGATCAGATGCAGGTGGGGCCATGAGCTCAAACACACACCGGGCACTGACTGGAGCACGCTGGATGGGTCCCCACATTTGTAAAATCACCATGTCCAAGTGCACACAGAAGCTGCAACTGAACTCCTCTCTGACAGGTTCACAGGACAGGTTTCCCTGCTGTCCAAAAGTAGAGCGAGCGGCCTTATGAAATCTTTCATAAGCCAAAACTGCATAAAGTGAAGATGTAATTACCATTATACAGAAAATTTTTTGAGCCTTTTCAGATCAAAAACTAACCTCTCATAGGTTTTTCTAATATCTTAGGACACATCCTGCTAACAGATGCATGGAATCGATCGAGATAAAGCACAGATGCGCACAGACACAGTTCAGAGCTCTGGTGGGTGGGCGCCGAGAGGCTGTGTGCGGGTCCTGGGAAAGAGCTCGGTGGGGCCCCTCTTGCTGCCCTGGGTGTGCGCTGCCTCCAGGAAGGCTCACTATAAAATCAATGCTAAATGCTACTTTTATTTTTCACCATTTTTCATAAAATTGAAAATCCTCTTCAAATTTCTTTGGGTTCGAGAAAACAGGTACTAATGTAAGTCTTCTGTAAAAGCAAAGTGGTATGATGCAAACTTTCAAAAAGCAGGAAATAACTGTATTGATGCAAATGAGATGCCTTTGATTCCAACTTCCATCTCATTCTATCCCCTGGTAGAAAACCCGTGGGAGCTTCTCTTTATGTAAGGAACGTGTTCTGGAGTGTGGATGTGCAGTAGGTCTTTTGGGAAATCAAAGGCTATTTTGAATATGCCAGGATATTTCATTCACCAAAGAAACCTTTGGAATAGGGAAAATCTGTAGAAAGATTATTCATACCTCTAGTCAATCTTGGTTATATTCTCAATCCCCATACACTAGGTTCAACCAGAGTAAAATACATCCACATACCATATGCCGTCTTCATAATAAAATGAAGATGTATACCTCAGAGTATAAATAATTTATACTTCAGTGCCATTATGAGTAAAAAATAAGAATTTGAATTATTAAAATAATTAACTAAAAATGTGCCAAACGCATACTGTTTCACTGGTTCATCCTTTCCAGTCTTTGTGTTCACTTGTCTCCAGAGAGCATAAACTTTAACTCCTACGGCTCTGACTTCTCTTCTAAAAGTTGCTGTCTTGAAAGGCCAAACATTTAAATGATAAGCTACCATCATCACAGTGCAGCTCCTTGCGGGTTAACCTCCCTGCTCTGAGAGGCCGCTGGTAACTCGAGAGCAAGCCCCGGGTGTCATAACATGCCTGCGCGGCCGTCCAGGAGCACCAGGGCCCTCAGCCTGGGCCTGCACTTTCTCTCACTCATCCAGGCCTCCTCACCAGGAGGGCCCACCAGAAGGGCAGCAGGGAGGGGGGAAGCATGCCCTGGAGGCAGGCAACCAGTCCTGCGTTCAAGCCCCACTTACAGACCAGGAAGTTGGAAACACTTTGGCAGCCCACTTTCCCATCTGTAAAACAGGCTCCCCACACACACCTCAGGAGTGAGATTAAACAAGACTGTGCTAGGGCTGCACTCACAGGCCAGCCCACCCCAGGCGCCACTGGCAGGTCATGCTCTTCGGTGACACCTGCTCTAGGCCTCTGAACAGCTGCCCGTCAGGGATGTCCTGGCACACCAGCACTTGCAGGCCACCGGGCTGAGCACTCAGGGTCTGGAAGGCCCACCTGCGATGCGGGAGGGACAAGGGGAGGCTCAGCTCGAGTCCTGGCAATCAGTCACTTTGGTGTCTGACTCACAGAGGGTCAGGCCAAAGAGGGTCTGATTTGCCCCGGATTAGGCTGCACCCAGAGGGCCAATACTGACCCCCAGACCAGAGCACACCCAGAAGCCAACCCGATGTGGGCAGAAGGTTCTCTGACCCGCCCCCTTGCTGGCAGCTAATATAAAATCACGAGTGAAAGAACCATCTGGATGTCTTAAATATTTGCATCCTTTACAGTCTTTATGTGGTGGTTTTTATCTTATTTTGTTATCTTATTTTTACCTCTGGAGAGGATTATGGGTGACAGTTTTTCTTCCTTCTTACATATCTGTGTTTCCTTATTCTCTGTTCCTGGAAAAGTATTCTGCCATAGTGGGAACACAAACACCTCTTAACTGCATGGTGCCTGCTCCTCTGGACAGACAGGAGAGGGACCCAGGCTCTTGTCCTCAGCACTCACGTGGACAAACAAGGGAGCCTAGGGGGCCCATGGTCTGGACCCATGGCTCTCTCTGCAAGGAAGCAGAGTATTTATAAGACAAACGATAGGGTAGGGAGGGTGGGAAGCTCGAGCCATGCCTTCCTCAGAGGCCTCTTGAAACTCAGGCAGGGCCAGGTGACCTCGACCCAGGCCCTCCACTCTCGGCCACGCTATCCTTGCATCTGGGTCCACAACCTCCACCTGTTGGCCACCAGAACCAGACAGGGCTTTGCCACCCATAGGTCACTCTCTAACTTGACCACCAGGTAGTAGGAGAGGCACTACGGGGAAAGGTGGCTACATCACACCTGCTGGCACGCCCTGCTGCACCTCGAGGGGCAGGGGCTATATCCAGACAACACACGATAGCAGCACGCACCTGGGCAAGCACGCATCCTTAGGCAGGGGTGCCAAGCAATGTGATGAGCCTGGGCAAATGTACAGGTGACTCAGTGCTGCTGGCCTAGACCCCAAGCTTCACAGGACATGCCAAGTCTACCTTCCACAACGCAGTTCCCAAACCCACCATGATGGTTCATCCATTGTTTCCACACACACGACACATGGCTTCCCAATGAGAAGCACCAATTAACTGGAACTTGGATGTGACTTTTCCATTCAGGCAACACTCATCTGCTGGGGCCTCCCATGCATGAAGCGCATGACAGACATTCCATAGTAAAATCATTGCTTGAGTGAGTGACAGCCCCTCATAAGGATGGCCGCTGCTGGGCAGGGACACCCCTGACAGGACTCTTGTCAGGGCCGCTTGGGCACAGGCCAGCTGTAACATGAGAGGTTTCTAACAGGTATGGACAGTTTTCAGGGCCATGTTACCTATGCCATTAATTTCTCAAGACCTATGCTGCAGTTCCAGAGTCACCTATGTGCTACATTCCTGAGCTCATGAGCCGAATGACATGCATGGATCTAGTGTCAGTATGGATCTGAAACGAAGAGCCTGGCTAGTGCCTGCATGCATATTACAGCTCCTGGCATACAGTCAGTGCTCAGTAAGTGCTGGCTGTATTATTACTAGATACTGTAAGTGTTATGAGCTCACACTTTCAAGTAATACAAATACTTAGACTCATTTAATAGAAATGAAAAGTTCAGCATAAATGTGCTCTATGTGCCCATCACTTTGCCTATATATAAAAGCTCACTTGGAGATACTACCACAAAACTGAATGCAAAAGAGAACAGTTAAGAGAAGAACCACAATAAAACGCAATTACACACTCCTCATGTGCTCAGGTTAGCTTCCTTAAGTACCAACAAGCACGGAGGTTGTTCTGTGTATCTAGGAGACCATCTTAAATTTGGGAGCCAAGACATTCTGGGCTCAAAAATGATAAAGGTATGTCCTTCCTAAAGTGGATTAATGTTTCTTACAATAAATGACAATATAAGCCAGCTGATCAATGTAGGTTAGAAAGTAATTAGTTCTATTTCTGGCTGTGATATAAAGCCAAAAAGGCCTAAATATCTATATGGGCACAAGGTTATTTCATGGGTCTTGAATGTGGGTATTTCACTAAAAGTGAGAAAAAAAACCTGACAACTCTCCTCCAAAAAACCCCAAATCCAGATGCTCAGGGACCCCAGACTCAGACATCAGCAGCTTAGCACCTGGCACCCAGAGATGCCTCTCCCCTCACACCAAGCCTGCGGCCGCCTGAGCTCTGAGCCTGCCTGCAGGCGGGACCCTGGGCCTGAGAATGCTGCTCCCAGGGACAAACGCCCATGTCTCTCAAGTCCCAAGGCATGGCCACCACCACCTGTCAATGGAACAACATTCCAGTCCACGTTGATTTACCTGAGTGTCCCTCCCTCTAATAAAGGGCATCTCAATGAGGGCCTCAGAATGCTGGTGTATGCACGGCACACAGACACTGAGTGACGGACAGGCTGGCCTGGACCCCCGCCTGCCTCTGGATCCCATGTTGGGCATCTCATTGGTTCCCGCTCAGCCCTCAGGCAGGTAGGACAGTGTGCTGTGACCAATGGGCCACCTACCCAAGGCCCACAGAGGCAGAACACAGACCCTCCTCCTCCCATCTTCAGGCTCCTTCCACTACAGCACATGGGTGAGCCAATCTGTGACATGACACTCTCTGTAGAAAAGCCCAGCACAGCAGTGAATAATTAAGAAAGCAGAAAATAACGATATAGCATAAATAACAATTCCTAAAGAGGTTAAAATCAAAGCAATAATGAATTCACATTTAATAGATAGATTAGATAAAGGAAGGTTAAAAAAAAAAGTCCACTGATTTGGGGCTTCAGGAAAATGGAGGCAATCACCCACTGTTGGTGAGCCACCAGGTGACAAAGCAACAGCTGCTCAAAGCCACGCAGCAGCATTCCCTGCCAAAGAGCTTATCCCCATGGAGTCATGTTTTAAAATAGGAGACGTGTGGGAAGAGCTGTTGACAAAACCATTAATCCATATAGTGGGAAAGAATCATTTCTGCGCATTTCACTACTTTATATCTGAGGGGACAGGCGCTCTGAAAGGCTTAACTCCAAGCCCCCAAACCTGGCTCATTACCTGCTTCATGTAGGCGTAACACATGGTCTCTGCAACACGCTTGCCCTCGTCATAGCAGGCTCGGGGTCCTATGGGATTCACGTGGCCCCAGTAATCCTCACTTTGGGGGTGAACTTCAGGATCTACGAGTGGGGGGAAAAAAAGATGTTTTCATTTTTCCTTCTTTTCAAGCTCATGTGCATAATGAACAACGAATATATTCATGATGCAAAAGGAAGCTTTGGAAAGACCAAGGTACACATTACAAATGTAGAGATACATATCAAAGAGGGCACTTCCACATTCCACAGTCCGTTCTCTGAGTCTGAGTGAGACCTGGTGCTCATACCACTCATATTAAGGAATGACAGTATTTTACAGGAGAAGAAATAAATAATAGGACCAAAGCCTTTTAAGTCTCCCCTCTCTCTGGTAAAAAAAAAAGTTCTCTATTTTTAGGTTATTACACAAACTTTAATTAAATGTAACCTCTGTGAAGAGATACATAGATCAGTTTTATCTGTAGAAAACATGTAATTACAATGAAGTACTTATTTACTGAAAAAATTTTAAGAGCATTTCTGTGGAATGCGATGATTTTCACATGTGCCACCTACTCTATAAATTCATCTCTTGCTTATCTTGTAGCTGAAGTATGACTTCAGCTCGCAGGTTCAATGGGGCCTGTGCAGGGCAGGACATGCACACAGAGGTGCTTTCAGAGGCAGGCACCCCCTCCAAAGCGTGGCAGAAGCATGGTGCACTCACATCTCTCCACCTGCTCCTGTGCGGTAAAATTCCCTTAAGGGTCAGAGTTCTATTGCACAATGAGAGACAAGGTCTAAATTCACAGATGTAACAGATGATGGCTATCAGACCTTGTCAGGGATTTCTAACAAGGGCTGGCCAAGCCAGGCCCCGAAGAGACAGTCATAAACTTGCGAATGACAGGAAAAAGCAGGCAGGGCACAGCCACTCATCTGTCCCTGGCCTGGCAGTCTGGGCTGGAAAGCCAGGGTGCTCAAGGTCACAGCAGTTTAAGAAGTCCCCTCAGAAAAATCACTTTACAATAGTAAAGGCTTAGAAGCAAAGCTGATTTCCAGTCAGCCTCCCTTTGCAACGTTTTGCAGGCTAACAGGTCAAGCACACCTTCCATGAAGCATCACTACTGCTGTTAGCCAAGAGTCAGGGCCAACCAATGGGTGATTTCCATGAGTTATGCCCTAACACTACCCAAGCACCCCAAAGACCATGAGCTGTCGTCAAATAGGCAGGCAGTGAATGAGGCAGGAGGAGAAGGAAGTGTGGACGTGGGGAAGATGTCACTGTGCCCTTCTGCACAGATAATAGCAGCCCCTTTGTATTTGAGACACTTGAAAAGGTTCGGCCCTTGAGCTACAGTGACACCACTCCTCTGGTGATCCACGCAGCCCACCAGCGATGCAAAAGGGGATCATCCAGAGCTGGGTACAGGGAAACGTGCTGATCCTCTGCTGAGTCTTCATCTGGAAACAGCAGAGGCGGGGGGCGATTCCAGAGCAGCAGAGGGATGGGCAGGAGGCAGACACATCTGCCCTTTGACTGCTGAGGGTTCCAGCAAAGTGGATGGTGCCCTGCCTTTCACAGGGATTACACGGAAGGTCACTGCACCTTGATGATTTTTCTGTTTCTACGGTTATTTTTTCATCTGGTTCCCTCACTTAAAACAAAACAAATGCACCTCTTCCTATTTTTCCTCCCACTTCATGTCTCCTGTGTGGAATAGTGATGTGAAGATCGGTCTCCTCTGGCCAGAGTCTGGCTTCTGCTCTACCAACTAAGCAGTTCTCTAAAGACCTGCACCAGCTGGAGTGGGGCTGAAAAGAAATCAGCGTGGATTGAAAATGTGGCTCTCATTCCCACTCCTCACATCCACTTCCTTCAGGGTTGGGCAGAGATTGTGCAGTGCTGCAGGTTGGCAAAACCTGCTCCCGAGTGCCCTGGCTCTACCTGAGGCTCTTCCAGAAACACCTGCACAACAGCTGAGGCAATCAGCACACATCTCTTGGCCAAGCATGCAGAGCGCAGCCCAAGTTTTTGGTGGGTCTGGCTCATGCACACATTGCTCACTTTGAAGGGTACACATGCACCAGCTCAGACGGCACAAAATCCCTGGTGCGTGCTTTCTGGGGGACGTCCCAGGACAGAAGGGCAACACCCTCCTGTGGATCTGTGACCAGAGGGTCTTCAGAGGCAAGGTGACATGACAGTCTGAGGACAGGCTTCAGCTGGAGAAAAGCAGGATGGTCCCACCCAGAGGAGGGGCGGGAGAGCAGGGGGCTGGGGTGGGAAGCCTCCCTGCTGCTAACACCAGGCAGGAAGAGCAGGGCCTTCTTAGAAACGCAATCCTGGACTCATTTTTGATTCCTTGTTCACCTAAGACAGGGTGCAGGGAGTCCAAGGGGGCCAGAGTGCGTGGCCTGGGGGAGCCCTACCCACTCACCTCCGTACACCTCCGAGGTGGAGGCCAGGAGCAGACGGGCGCCGACTCGTTTGGCCAGTCCTACAGAAAGCAAACAGAGGTCAGAGACCATCAGCCTCTGGGGAACCAGGCAACTACATACACACATGCACAACTGTGGCCTGCTTCAACACAGTGTTTTAGTACAAATAGTAATCTGATCACCCATGCATCTTCAATTATCTACTCACACTGCTTCTACTCTGAACCAAAATAAAAACAAAAGCAGTGAGAAAAACCAAAGAACCTTCACAAGCACAGTGAATACTTAGGTTGTCAGCAGGGCCGAAGGAAGGCTCTGTTAGCTTGAGAAAGTGTGGTTTGAGGAATAGAGGATTCCTTTGCCCCAAGTTCCAGTTATTTTAGCAGGGAGCTACCCATAATAGGCAGAAGGCAAGTCCTTTCACCTGAACTTCCACTATCACCCCCAACAGTCCTTCTGTCTCAACATGCTCTCCGGCATCTTCTGACTGCCTAATGCAAGGCCTCCTGGCTGGGCCCCTCCACCCTGTCCCCATTACAATGCCCACATATGAGACCCCAAGTTCCCCAGAAGAAGAGTCTCAGGACAAATCTTATCAGAATCCCCTCCTCTGTCGACAGGATGGTGCCCTAGCACCGTGACTACATCGCCTAAGTGGGTAGAATGAATGATACCTTTGTAAATATCCTGTACTTGGTGGTCTTTCTCTCCTGTATCTAGTTCTGCTGTGAAGGAGGGTCAGGGCGGAGGGAGGATCAGGGTGTGCAGCAGCGAGAACAGGGAGCAGCCCTGGCAGGGCACATCCCGCCCCTCCCTGATCCATCCCAGACAGAAGCGGGCGGGCTTTGCTCCGTCTGCTGCCCTACTTCAAGCAGAGCATGATCCCCAAACGTCTAGTCTAAGACATTAGAAAACCAATTGAGTTTCCTTTCAGAACCTGGTCTCCATGCTTTGCTCAAATTAAAACTCAGTGTATTTCCCAAATCCATTTATAAATAAACCTGTCCTAAATGTTCCTATAATTAAATCCACTTTTTACTTGACATTTCAAAAATTGGTTCCTTTCTCCCTCTTGGCAACTAAAATCAAAACCCTAGTTTTTAAAACCTGTGTCAGACTTGAACATGCCTTTAACCAAGCATTATTAATATGTGCATATTACCCACAGCTGTAAATCTCAGGCACGTGGTTTATGAACACACACGTGTGGCTACTGAAACCTGGGTGCACGTCCCCACCACCCCCATCTCAGATCAGAGTCCCAGCAGCCCTTTCGAGCCCAGAGGCACCCACACCATGTGTCAGGGGGAAAGGGAGGAAGGATGGCCAGTCACTTGGAAACGTAGGTGTTCACACCCAGGGGCTTAACTGGGGCAACGCAGACTGGTCATGACAAACCTATCTCCCTCCTGACAAGTCTGAGGGCACAGTGACATAAGGCCACAGTGAGACGGCAAGGACGGAATGAGGGAGGAACTGAAAAGCAGCCTCAAACTCCGACAGAGCTGTTGACACCCACATCTGGAGTTGTGTCCGTCACTCCCTACAGCTGCAAAATAAAGACAGGAAACATACCCAGCATATTTAATGTTCCAATCGTGTTGGTCTTCAGCGTCTTGATAGGGTTATACATGTAGTTTGGTGGGGAAGCCGGAGAGGCCAGGTGGTATATCTGGTCAACTAAAGGAGACAAAATGGAAGTAGGTTACCTCAAAGGAAAACTCTTAGGAAATTCTGAACTCCTAAGTATCAGACTATATAATAAAGGTGTTCATGATCTTGCACTGAAATTCTAGTTCTTACTGTTTTTATTCTTCATAGAATCGAATTTACATTTGCAATCACAAGAACTTTAAAACAGACAGCCTAGGAGGATTCTCAAGATGGCAGCATGAGGTGGGTGGTGGAAATCTCCTCCCAAAACCACGTATATTTTGAAAACACAGCAAATACAACTATTTCTAAAAGAATGACCAGAAGTCACAGTACACTAGCCAAGCTACATTTGCAAGAACCCAACACCTCATGGAAAAGGGTAAGATACAAAGCCGTGACCCAGCAGGCCCCAAGCACTCCCCCCACCCCAGCTCACCGGCAGGAGGAAAAGAATCAGAGTGGGGAGGGAGTGGAACCGCTGACTGCTATATACCCAGCCCTAGGAATCTGCCCCGTGAGCACAGACATATATTGCATGGTGCACTGGATATCAGAGGAGTGGAAAAGCAAAACCAAGATTAAGACTGTGAACAGGTTCCCACAGCAAGCTGCCCTGGGATAAAAGAAAAGCAGGCACTTAAAAAGTCTTAAAGGGACAAGGGTTTAACAGGTAGACAAAATCACCCTGACACACTCAGCCCAGCAGGCTGGGAACTTTAAGGAACTTCAGGCGCCCTAACCCCCTGGATGGCAACAGAGCTCTGAACCCCTGCAGGGTGATAAGCAGCCTGCCATTCCTTCCCCTCTGCCTACACTGCAAGCAAACTGGTTGACCCACCATTGCTATGGAAGAGCCGGGGAGCAGCCCTGCCTACAGCAACTACACAGCTTAACATACAGGCTTCTCCCTGTGCATGGCTAACTGGCCCAGACCCAGAAGCTGCTCCCTGTGAGCAGTTGACCAGCAAAGATGGCAGAGACTGGTGCAGAGTCTGGGAGGCACAAAGGGGCCCTGTTCTCATGGAAGAACACACGTCACTTGCCTGCAACCTGCGCCAGTGCCCTAGGCCATCCTGAGGGCCGTCCTGCACACGGTAGCTGAGGGGATTAACCCAGAGGCTGCTCCCAGTGTACAGTTAAACAGCACAGACAGTGGAGACAGGAGAAGGGACTTTGTTCTCCCAGCTGACACAAGCTCCACTCACTGGCAACCACTCCCGTCACCATGAAAAGGCAGAAGAAACTTGTTCAGTTCAAAATCCCTCAAACACCAGAGACAGGACTTGGAGACACTGAAATCAACAATCTTTCTGAAGAAGAATTCAAAATAAAAGTCATAGCATACTAAAGGAGCTAACAGACAAATATTCAAGACCTAAGGGATGAATGCAGGAGGTAGATAACAGAAACAAAACAAACAATGGAAGGATTTAAGAGCAGACTGGATGAGGTGGAAGAGACTCTTAATGGAATAGAAATCAGAGAATAGGAATACAGAGAAGCTGCGGCAGAGAGAGATAGAAGGATCTCTACCAAGGTAAGAATATTAAGAGAACTGTGTGACCAATCCAAATGAAACAATATTGGCATTATAGGGGTACCAGTAGAAGAAGAGAAAGAAAAAGGCATAGAAAGTGTCTTTGAAGAAAAAATTGCTGAAAACTTCGCCAAACTGGGGAAGGAAATAGTCTCTCAGAACATGGAAGTCCACAGATCTACCAACTCAAAGGACCCAAGAAGGACAACTCCAATACATATAATAATTAAAATAGCAAAGACCAAAGACAAGGACAGAGTATGAAAAGCAGCCAGAGAGAGAAAAAAGATCACCTACAAAGGAAAACCCATCAGGCTATATCATCAGACATCTCAGCAGAAACCTTACAGGCCAGAAAGGAATGGCATGATATATTCAATGCAATGAAACAGAAGGAACTCAAAGCAAGAATACTGTATCCAGCAAGATTATCATTTAAATTTCAGGGAGGGATTAAACGATTCCCAGATAAGCAAAAGTTGAGGGAATTTACCTCGCACAAACCATATCTATAGTGTATTGTTTATCTTAAAATTTTTTTATTAAAGGTTTTTATGAAGGTTTCACATGAAAAAACAATGTGGTTACTATATTTACCCATATTATCAAGTTCCCACCCATACCCCAATGCAGTCACTGTCTATCAGTGTAGTAAGAGGCCACAGATTCACAGTTTGCCTACTCAGTGCTACCCTATATTCCCCATGACGTCCATACCATGTGTACTAAACATAATACCCTCAATCCCCTTCTCCCTCCCTCCCCACCCACCCAGCCACATCCCTCCCCTTCGAAACCACTAGTCACCTCTTGGAGTCTGTGAGTCTGCTCCTATTTTGCTCCTTCAGTTTTGCTTCGTTGTACTCCACAAATGAGGGAAATCATTTGGCACTTGTCTTTCTCTGCCTGTCTTATTTCACTGAGCATAATATCTCTAGCTCCATCCATGTTGTTGCAAATGGTAGGATTTGATTCTTTCTTATGGCTGAATAGTATTCCATTGTGTATATGTACCACGCCTTCTTTATCCACTCATGTACTGATGGACATTTAGGTTGCTTCCATATCTTGGCTATTGTAAATAGTGCTGCAATAAACATAGGGATGCATATGTCTTTTTGAGTCACGGGAGTTGTATTCTTTGGGTAAATTCCAAGGAGTGGGATTCCCAGGTCAAATGGTATTTCTATTTTTAGTTTTTGAGGAACCTCCATATTGCTTTCCACAATAGTTGAACCAGCTTACATTCCCACCAGCAGTGTAGGAGGGTTCCCCCTGTCCCCATCCTCACCAGCATTTGTTCTTAGTCTTCTCAATGCTGGCCATCCTTACTGGTGAGAGGTGATATCTCATTGTGGTTTTAATTTGCATTTCCCTGATGATTAGTGAGGTGGAGCATCTTTTCATGAGTCTGTTGGCCATCTGAATTTTTTCCATGGAGAATTGTCTCTTCATATCCTCTGCTCATTTTTTAATAGGGTTATTTGCTTTTTGGGTGTTAAGGCGTGTGAGTTCTTTATATATGTTGGATGTTAACCCCTTGTTGGATATGTCATTTACAAATATATTCTCCCATACTGTAGGCTGCCTTTTAGTTCTGTTGATGGTGCCCTTTGCCATACAGAAACTTTTTAGTTTGATGCACTCCCATGAGTTCATTTTTGCTTTTGTTTCCCTTGCTCGAGGAGATGCATTCAGGAAGAAGTTGCTCATGCTTATATTCAGGAGATTTTTGCCTATGTTGTTTTATAAGAGTTTTATGGTTTCATGACTTACATTCAGGTCTTTGATCCATTTCAAGTCTACTTTTGTGTAAGGGGTTAAACAATAATCCCCAGTGTCATTCTACTGCATGTAGCTGTACAGTTTTGCCAATACCAGGTGTTGAAGAGGCTGTCATTTCTCCACTGTATGTCCATGGCTCCTTTATAATACATTAATTGGCCATATATGGTTGGGTCTATATCACGGCTCTGTAGTCTGATCCACTGGTCTATGGTTCTGTACTTATGCCAGTAGCAAACTCTCTTTATTACTGTGGCTCTGTAGCAGAGCTTGAAGTTGGGGAGTGAGATCCCCCTGAGACTTACTCTTCCTTCTCAGGATTGCTGTGGCTATTCAGGGTCTTTTGTGGTTCCATATGAATTTTAGAACAATTTGCTCTAGTTTGTTGAAAAATGCTGTTGATAATTTTGATAGGAATTATTTTGAATCTGTAAATTACTTGAGGCAGGATGGCCATTTTTGATAATATTAATTCTTCCTATCCATGAGCACGGGATGTGTTTCCATTTATTGGTATCTTCTTTAATTTCTCGAATGAGGGTCCTATAGTTTTCAGAGTACAGGTCTTTCACTTTGTTGGTTAGGTTTATTCCTAGGTATTTTATTCTTTTTGATGTAATTGTGAATGGAATTGTTTTCCTGATTTGCCTTTCTCCTAGTTCATTGTTAGTGTATAAGAATGCAACAGATGTCTGTGTAATAATTTTGTATCCCACAACTTTGCCGAATTCAGTTATTAGATCTAGTACTTTTGGCATGGATTCTTTAGTTTTTTTTATGTACAATACAATATAATCTGCAAACAGGGACAGTTTAACTTCTTCCTTGCCAATCTGGATGCCTTTTATTTCTTTGTGTTGTCTGATTGCTGTGGCTAGGACCTCCAGTACTATGTTGGATAGAAGTGGGGAGAGTGGGCATCCCTGTCTTGTTCCCAATCTAAAAGGAAAAGCTTTCAGCTTCTCACTGTTAAGTATCATGTTGGCTGTGGGTGTGTCATATATAACCTTTATTATGTTGATGTACTTGCCCTGTATACCCATTTTGTTGAGTTTTAATCATGAATTGATTTTGAATTTTGTCAAATACCTTTTCAGCATGTATGGAAATGACCATGTGGTATTTGTCCTTCTTTTTGTTGATGTGGTGGATGATGTTGATGGATTTTCGAATGTTGTACCATCCTTGCATCCCTGGAATAAATCCTACTTGATCATGTTGGATGATTTTTTGATGTATTTTTTAATTTGGTTTGCTATTTTGTTGAGTATTTTTGCATGTATGTTCTTCAGGGATATTGGTCTGTAATTTTCTTTTTTTGTGCAGTCTTTGCCTCATTTTGGTATTAGAATGATGCTGGCCTCATGAAAAGAGTTTGGAAGTAGTCCCTCTTCTACTCTTTGGAAAACTTTAAGGAGGAAGGGTGTCAGGGCTTCACTAAACGTTTGATTAAATTCAGTGGTGTAGCCATCTGATGCAGGGGATTTTTTCTTAGAAAGTTTTTTGATTACCAATTCAATTTCATTGCTGGTAATTGGTCTGTTCAGATTTTCTGTTTCTTTCTGGGTCAGCCTTGGAAGGTTGTATTTTTCTAAAAGTTGTCTATTTCCTCTAGGTTATCCAGTTTGTTAGAATATAATTTTTCATAGTATTTTCTAATAATTCTTTGTATTTCTGTGGTATCTGTGGTGATTTTTCCTTT